CAAGAGAACAAGCTGCTGCCCTCAGTCACCTGACAGGCTGGTACAAAAGAACGAGCTGCTGCCCTCAGTCACCTAACAGGCTGCTCAAGACAATGATCTGCTGCCTTCAATCACTGATTGATGGAAGATGTTTGGTTGGGTGACTGAGGCCAGCAGCTCATTCCCCACTCCATTCTGGAGAATGTAGTCTAGACATGCTGCTAAGTATTTTTAAGCATAATGAATCAGGAATGATTCCTGTGAGTAACAGTAACATCTGTCTCCTCGAACCTGGACCCAGCATTCCTGTGTTCCTGTTGCACAGGTTTGTTAATTGTCATTGGGGGTCTTGCCCACAGAAGGGTTACAGGGTCTCACAAGACAGAGCATCACTCCATGCACCCCTGAGAAACACACCCCTGCAGGAGCTCTGATGCAGAACATTAACAACAACAGTCATCTAACACAATCAAAGCTCAGAGTTCACCCCCTCCCCCCGCTGGCACACATTTATTGAATTTATTGAATACGAAAAAGGACCTGGATTGGATTAACATGCTGTAGAGAGGGGGCTTAATCAAATTCGAAGAAACACGTGAAAGGAGTCCTGTTTCCTGCACTGTTAAACCAGGAGTGCATCACACAGTGGGGTGCAGGCGGGGTCCTGTTTCCAGCACTATTTCTATCACACAGCGGGGCGCAGGCGGGGTTCCTTACTCGGGGTTCCCCAGGCCGACGCACTGCAGAAAGAACTTTTCCCCCTCCCTGGGCAGGTCGCTCTCCGGCTGGATCCGGACGGAGGGCTTGTCTGCGGGACGGAAGGAGGGAGAGCACGTTAGCCGGCGGCCCCCCCGGCGCGGCAAGAAGAGTGGGGGAGGGAGGGCGCAAGTCGCGGGCCAGGCGCCGGAGCCGGGGTTCAGAACCGGCTAATCTGCGTTGCCCCGTTCGGACTAGGCCTCCATCCCCGCATTGGGCACGGAGTTCCCCCCCCACGATCTCCCAGATGTTCCCCACGTCCGCCCTGGGGAGCCCTCCTACCCTTGGCCACCAAACCCCCACCCGGCCACGGGGCCGAGAGACCCCAGAACGGCAACGACAGGGGTCGACCCCAGGTGGGGCCAGTTTGTGGGTCACCCTGCGGGTTTCTGGGAGGTGGGCAACCCAGGGGGAACATGCAGACTCCGTACAGAAGGGCTCTCATGCATGGAACTGAGCCCAGGGCCCCAGAACAGGGAGGTAGTGTCCCTAACAGTGCTATGGACACATGCAGCCTATATAGCGCCTTTGCGGGGGGGCTTACACAGCACTTGGATCCTCTGCTCCATGCTCTTGTCGCTGGTCTGCAGCGACTCGTGCCCCACGGAGCAGGAGATGATGGCGTCGTTGTCCTCGCGGCTCACGGTGTAGTTGATGCTGCTCATCACGGTGAAGGTCTTGCCCTCGGGGTCCACCACATCCGGGCGACCTGGGGGGAGGCAGGGGGTTGAGCAGCGACTCGGGGATGGGGGTCCCCTCGCCGGCAGATCGGCGCGGCTCCTCTCACCTGGGATCTGCTCGGCCCCCTTGAACCAGCGCAGGCGGGCGGGGGGCTTGCTGCCGGAGCTATGGCAGGACAGCTCCAGGGTCCCCCCTTCCACGATGGGCCCGGGGTACCCCTTGATGACGGGCCTCTGCGGCACGCCTGGCAACATGCACACAGACATCTTCGTCATCGTCACGGACACAGTGATCATCCTCACACACACACCAGTGTCAGTGTCATTATCTTCATCCCACACAGACACCATCATCATCGTCATCATCTTCATCTCACACAGACACCATCACATCATCATCTTCATCACACACAGACACCATTATCATCTTCATCATCATCACCCAGACACCATCATCATCATCACTCACAGACACCATCATCATCGTCTTCATCCCACACAGACACCATCATCATCATCATCACCCAGACACCATCATCATCATCACTCACAGACACCATCATCATCGTCGTCTTCATCCCACACAGACACCATCATCATCATCATCACCCACACCATCATCATCACTCAGAGACACCATCATCATCGCCATCTTCATCCCACACAGACGCCATCATCATCGTCATCTTCATCCCACACAGACACCATCATCATTGTCATCATCTTCATGCCACACAGACACCATCATCATCATCATCACACACAGACACCATCATCATCACACACACAGACACCATCATCAACACA